TGTTATAACCTGTCCAGGGTGTAGTGAATATTATATTGGTGAGACCAGTGACACTCTCCGTACTCGGGTTCGTATTCATAAACAGCATATCAACACGCCAGAATACAGACAGATACCACTTAGTGAACATTTAGACGTGTGTGGACAAAAGAAATTTAAGATAATTCCTTTTTATAAAGTAACAGGAGAAAATGATATTTGTAGACGTCAAAAAGAAAAACATTTTATTTGTACGTTGAAACCATAGCTAAACAATCTGATTTAATATATATATATATATATATATATATCAATTTAATGATGTATGCATATGTATATCTGTATTTTTATTGAAGTTTTCCCGAACTTTTTACCTGAACGAAAAGAGCAATTGACTATGACGTCATAGTACATTTGACTTCACAATTACGACGTCATATACTCTGCGTATCATTGTGTAACGTTACTATGTATTTTGTAAAGCTTCTGAAGATAGAATGAGATGCCTAAAGCTTTACTGAGGTTTTTCGTTTTTTTCTTCTTTAAGTATAATATATATATATATATATATATATATATATATATATATATATATATATATATATATATATATATATATATATATATATATATATATATATATATATATATATATATATATATATATATATATATTTATTTATTTATTTATTTATTTATTTATTTATTTATTTATTTATTTATTTATTTATTTATTTCTGCAAAAACGGCCGTCAGTTTTTGTAATATAAGCAAGTATCTCAAGTGGAGAATGTCCGATGCATGGTAAATTTGTGTCCGATGCATGGTGAAATGAACGTACTAGTAAAAACAGCTCTAAGAAAAAAATACAAATTTTTAAATGACACTTTTTGAAATTTTCTAGAAAATTATTAATCATTAACAAAATTCACCCAAGAAGGACTCGTTCCCTTGAAGTTTAATGAAAGCAAAATAACGCTAAAAGTTCGAAAAAATCATAAAATTCTGGTTACTCCCCTTCGATGCAAAATACGACGTCACTTCAAGGCCATTCTCGTAGTATTTATATCACAAAATGATAATAAAAACCGGCATCATTAAAAATTTTAAATCTTAGGCCTTAAGACAGGAACAAGTTCAAACACGAAGACATTCAGATTATTGCGAAAAATTGTACGAAGCAAAGAATGTGTCCGATGCATGGTGAACCCACCCTATTGGGCTAATTAAACACACTATTAAACGCTGACGTGACGTCACAATGAGGCAAAAGAGATGGTTATGAAAATATTTCGATATAGGGGAGCGATAAATTGAAACGAGTTTATTTTTGCTCGTTTAAGATATGTTAAATGTAAATACATGTATAAGGATCTTTTTTAGTTTGTGAATCTCATTAGTAAGTGAATCAAACAGACTTGGCCATTTTTATAAAGTGCTAGCGTGCTTCATGAAATATGCTTATGTGAGAAGTCTGTGTGATTTACACAACAATCATACTCACAAAACTAAAAATAACCTTAAATATCGTCATCAAATTATTTTTTTTTTATAAATTATCGTCTATTTTGAATAAAATAATGGATATTAAAGGGTTTTAATTGAGAAAGAAATTCAAAACATAAATTAAATTTGACATACCACAAATATTAAATTATGAGCATTGATTAATGAGATAGATAAAGGTAAATTGTTATTATCTACCTATTACCTTTTTTTTTTAAATTTTCATTATATCTAGTAATAATGTGGCGGCCTCAATTTAACGTTTCGATATATCGACGACGTTATATTAATTAACAATATTTATTGTCATTCCTATCTTGATTTGATATATCCCTTTGAACTTGAAAAGACACCACAGAGTCTGACACATCTTTTTCGTATTTGGATATTTTACTAGAAAAAGACGTTAATGGTAACCTTACAACAAAACTTTTTGATAAAAGTGTGAGCCTCAGTGTGAGCCTTTCTATCGTTAACTTCCACTATTTATGTAGCAATATACCAATAGAGATTGTTCCATCTGACGCTTCCGTATACGTATCCGTATCCGTATCAAGGTATGAGAGGCACCTCGATCCCGATGTCTAAACCATTTGGTAACATTTGGAACCATTGATTCGTGTTCGGTTTTAAGGAAGCTCTAAACACTGCTCACTGAAGAGTTCTAATTACTTGGTAGTTTTATGCAGTTAGAGTTCTGCCCTTTGATGAGAAAAGGAATAAGTAAATATCTACATTAAATGGTACGATTTAAAACAGATAATTGTATTCCTAACATTATATTAGACCAAGATAAAGTAATTAGAGAACATGTATTTTCCCGATGTAAGTAAACAACAGTGATTTCTGCTCTTTGTACTTCTTTGTCTTTGAACATTTCTTCTGGAGAAATATGATGGTATGTGCCATATGTTGAAAATGAACAACATAAACTCAGTATGGGACCTTTAAATGAAACAAAAGTCCAAAAAACATTTTTCATTAGTGTTTAGAGCTTCCATTGGAAATTAAGATACAATAATATTTCTAATAAAAATATATCAATTTGCTGTACATACCTACCATTTTATGGAAAAATAAAGAAAAGCTTTAAAATAAAATTAGGAAAACAAGAATGTAATTCTTATTCAATTGTTTAAAAATTCAAAAAAAAAAACGATTTGTACAAAAATATTTTTTCAGACCTCTAATGATAAATCACCTAAACAACAGAAATGTGCAGAAATTGATCAAACCGAAAAATTTGGGGGAGGGGGGGTATTTAGGTTAATTCCAGATACATTAACTGGGAAAGATTTGACCATACTGCAATAAAATATATATGTGCCTGTATGGGGGAGATTCACTGAAAATTTCCATCCCCATTGTCTTTATTATCATCCTCTATATCATTTGATGGTCGTAGTTCTCCAGAGATGCTTTGGATAGCTGGGGATTCCGGGGCGAATAGAAAACGCGAATTCCGTAATGGTTCCATAGAGCTTTCACTACACTTTCCGAATGTAATGCAACTTGTCGAGAAAGAGAGATAAACGGGAAAAAAATTAGTTTATGATCCATCTATATCTTATAAATTACTCTATATACATATAACTACAGTTTATGAAATTTAGATACCAAAATGGAAAAAGGATAAGATAGCTTACCTATAGGGCTGCGCAATGATATCGATATTCCGATATATTGCGAATCGTTATCAAACATATCGTATTGCAATACGTTTTTCCAGTACCGATATACCAACAAAATGATTGGGCTTTAGATTTATCAAGTAAAACATGAAATTCAAGATGTCAGTCGTTTTTTTTTCAATCGTACTAAACAGTACCAAACGGTGAAGGTTTCTGTTGCATGGTTGCATTTCGTTGCCAAACTGTAGTGAAATCGAATAGAACTTTTTTGTTACAACGTATTTATAAAAGTTTTATACACTCTGCTATAAATGGAGGTTAAAAAATTTAAAAAAAAATAAAAAATAAAAAAAAAAAAAAGAGCATTTTAACTGTTACTAAAAATATTGCAAAACATATCGCAATACAGTTCCAAATATCGCAATATATCGCAATACGAATTTCCAATCTATACCCAGCCCTACTTACCAGAATGAGATAAATCTATTGTTTTGAAAACTTAAAAAGAGTTAAGATAATAACGTATTCTGAATCATTTTTTTTTATCAAACCATAAATCACATGTACAACAACAAGAGAACTAAGAAGAGAGTCAAATTGTACAACTGTATTTTACTCATGAAGTTTTTTCAAGTTAATACCCCTGGATGGACACCATATCAAAACGAAATCAATGTGTATGAGTATAGGCATGAAAGTAGCAATTTCAACTGGGGAGGGGGGAGGACATACATGTATATGTCAAGTAGTTCATTGAAAAAAATGAATGAATGAAAGTTAACAAACGCTATCAAAGTTTGTGTGTGTGCCAGGGAGGACAGGTGTTTAAACTGGCATTTTTAAGCATATACGGGTAATTGTCTGGAAGGGAATTATGTAATCAATTTGATCGTGTTGACATTAACGTGTTTTGTATCTTAGAAATGAGAGGGGGGGGGGGTTAACTGTTACGCTATGTAATGGTATATGAAAGTTAAAGAATGAATCAATAAAATGTCCCGATATTAAAATACAGAAGAGGGGATGTCCGATAAATGTTTTGAAACAAAATTGCAATTGAAATTTTAAACAACATTATTAAAACAAATAGAAATTAACTGAATTTCATTTTCTATTATTTTTATAAATGTTCCCCAAAAATACTAGGGGCTAACAGAAGCTTAATATATTTTTTATTAGAAAAATAGCTATATATCCTATTTCCCAATGGACGAGGCTGCTTTTAAACCAAATAACGATCGAAATCTTATTAAATAGTTTAGACATCGGGATCGAGATGCCTTTCATACCTCGATACGTATACGGATACGTATACTTATACGGATACGTCAGATAGAACAATTTCTAATATCACTTGTATATGGAGATTATGTCTCCCAGTTGATTCGGTAAGTATGAGCATGCTCTACGTAAGAAATATTATTGAAAATGAGACAAGCTATTGACAAATACGTTGATGAAACAAGAATGTCAACAGTCTAGTTTAAAGTCATTTTTTCGCAAATTCTATGTCCATATAATGACCTAGTCACCAAGTGCAATCTATCGTTAAGTATTATGTTGACTGACGTTATTCAAACAAATTCTTATGCCATTATTTTCACACTGAATTGTCTCTGGATTTTTTCCGTTTGCCCGATCATGACAAGGGTCACACGGCGGGTGTGACAGGGAATGCTTACTGCTCCATGGTACCATGTCCCACCTTTAATAATTTTATAGGTCCGTGTTTTCTCTTATCCAAGTTTGTATTGTCACAATTGACTTCTGAGCTTGATTACTGTTAGTTATCTTCATATTTCTTCATCCTTATCTTTCAAATCCATGAGATTAAAATTACAACTATAACATTCATCATACCAATATATTGAACTTGTACTCCGTAAAACGTCTATTTGTAATAGAAAGGTCTCCCATTCCCGTACGCCCAGTTATGCATCTGCCTTCTAGCTCCATATAGAGATACTGATATTCGACGAAGATTTTCCGTCAAATCGGTTCGGTTTCCCTTCGCCATATTATAGGCCGAGAATGCTAATAGACCTGCATCAAACAACGCCGTCAGCGGCCCAATGACTGCGCCAAGAATTGTTATCCCTCTGGCTGATACCTTTAGAAGGCTTATGGGGATCATTGCTAGACCTTTCACGGTTCTTAGGATACCCGGTAAGCTCTGTACCCCCGCAAAGTCGGATGCTTCAATATTCTGATTGGTTCTGATTTCAGTCGACACCTCCGCCAGCCTGTTTACTTCCCCTTTTAATTGTTCCATTACATTCTGTAAGAGCTCAAATCTCTCCTGGTAACAGTTTTGATACCGTTTTAATGTGTCTATTGTACCACTGTTCAAGTAGGTTTCAGTAATCTTCGCTCCCGCAGCCACTGTTCCTCCGGAAACCGCCAGAACCCCTCCCCCTACAGCCAGTAGGGTAGAAATTCCTCCAGTTACCGGTGTCAACGCTATTCCAAAACCCGTCAGTACTGCACCGACAATCCCCGCCCCAGAACCAGATATTGTCGCGATATTTACATTTTTACGACGACCTTCAATTTCACATATCACCAAGTCACATCTTCTCTGCAGAATTTGATTACATAAGAGCCACTGCTCTACAGTTACACAAGCTGTTTTCAAAAGGGTATCGACTTTCCTCATTCTTCGCATCAATTTACAATCTGTAATATAATGAAGAGAAAACTTAATTTTCATTTTATTTAATAAATTTTAAGAAATGGTAAATACTTTTCAATTTGAAATACATGTTTCGGACAGTTGTTGAAATTTACCTTGCTGTGTACGATATGGCGTGGAGTCAGCTTCACTCGAAAGAATATCGGGAATATCTACAAAGCAATTACAACAATCCATTTTTGAAACGATTCTGTGAAATTGTTTGCTTCCCGTCTGCAGAAGGGAAATATAGAACGTTTTATTCTTGGAACATTTTCTTCTTACACGTGCATTTTTTTGTGTTTTTCTCTCTCGGGTTCTCAGCTTTGAGTACTCACTCCAGAAACTCTCTGTTGAGGTTTTTGTGTCCTTCACTCGGAGGACGTAAATATTAGTCTGAAAAAACGTGCAAGCAAGCCATAGCAGTACATCGTCGGTAGGAAGATCATCCTCAATTCGTCCAATCACAAACTTCGCCAGCTGTTCGTAGTCTTTTTTACCCTGAGGTAACTTTCCAAATGCAGCTTCGTAAGGACGATTTATATCGTCTCCAATGACGGGTAGGTAAGTGGTAATATTTTGCAACAATTCTCCGCATAATTCTTTTAGTAATAAATCAACATGTTTTTCAGTTCCAAAAATATTTTTGCTTAAGCATCGGAGTAAAGAGTGTTGGAAAAACTGAATGGAGTCGAATGTTCTTCCTTTCATGTCATTTCTTTGCATCGCTATGCGCAGTGAAGAGTATGGTGTGCAAACTGGAAAATCTCTTATTTCTGTCATGAACATTTCCTCTTCTGGATCCTCTGATAAGAAAGGAAGCAGATAATGGTGGCGTTCTCTTGGGTTCACACATAATAGAAGCTGGGACTCTATTTCTGAAAAAAAAACAATTGACGATACATATATATTTGTCAATATCTGTTACATATATATATCAGTCTCATTAGTGTGTAAATTTAGAGCTTTATAGTAATTGAAATAAAATCTTTGTTGTTAATTTTGATACAAATATCAACGATAAACGTTAAGACTATAATTGTGAGTATTAAAAAATTGTAAATATAAGCGTTACAAGATTTTTTTTACATGGCACTGTCATAAAACACACAAAACATGCCTACAAATTTTAATGAAAATTAGCTACGAAATACAATTTTCATACAGTTTAAGCAATCCAAAGAATGACCAAACAATGCTGGAATTAAACTCTTTCTACAATACAACTTCAAACTTACTTTGATGGTTTCGAAGTAAGGAAAAGGGTGAGGGAATTCCACAGTTACAACCTCTGAGGGGTGTTATCCGATCATAGGATTCATTCAGGCCATTGTAGAAAAGAGTGATGTAAAACCTGCATTCTTTCTCCTCATCAAATTGGCATATTCTTGAACGAGCGGGTTCAAATTTTTTCCAAAACCTCTGAGAACAGTTCAACTGGGTTGGGTCTGAATGGTAAATGTATATTGGGACTGTCAACCAATCTGATATTCTTCCCATCTTTTCATGGAAATCCAGTTTCTCGTTTTCTAAGACATCCTGAAGATCACTGTATTTTAAATAAATCATTACTTATGCTTTCGTTTCATCATTTGTTTAAACACTGGAGGATAGTTCTAGTAGTAAATGCAAATCCTGTTATTCATTTTATATATCTATCAATTTCGCAATTGTTCAGGTATTCACTTAAGATAATCAGTCAATACCTTGAAAAATATTCGTCCCCATACAATTCTTTTGAAAGGGCCATGGTTAAAGTACCATGTCCACCGTTAATTTGATCAATTCTTCGCTCCTCAGCATAAAGTCGATCTGCTACCATTTGTATGTCGTCCGTTGGGATAAGATAATCAGTTCGCTGGGGCCAAAACGTCCTGTAGTTTGGTATGTGCTTTAAATGTGTGTGGTTTTGGTGTTTCCTACTTGGAGGGCAGCATGGATTTCGTACTTAAAATAAAAAAAATTAATGTAAGTTTTTTTTTCTTTAAACTTCAAGAAGGGAAATGTGAGTAATTCTACAATACTATTGATTGCATGAGAGTTTGACAACATACAGTTGTGGTTCGTTCTAAGTAAAGAATATACAAGTTTTTTCATTACATGGTCTTTTCCCTTTTTTTGTAATTGTCCAATTAATGATAGGGGTTCAATGGATTAGACCAAATGCACAAAGATTATATCAACGAAACCTTAAGTTAATGCCCACAGTCTCTAATACTAGTGGCTTCTGCCAGCAAGTCACATGGCACACATCAACGTCTGTTGGCCCAATTAATGCTTTGGAAGCAGAATCATTGTGGCAAAAGGTGAGTAAAGAGTGTCTATAAATAACTCGTTGCTTAGTAATGGAAAATCCAAACGGAAAACAACCAGTTCTCCCTAGCAACTCTTAGAACAAGAATTGACTACACAAACGTATAAAAGAACAAATCTCGTCAATTTAATCTATAAAAGAGTACCTTCATCAAAAAAATTGACAATGCCATGTGGTAAAATCCGGGAATTTTTGGAGTCGAAAACCTTTTCCTCACTAGTACCAATAATATATGTACATGGAATGTTAAAACCATATAGGAAAGACGGAAAAATGCATAAGTGCCAACAGAGGTGTCAAACTATAACATTTTACTGCTCACTTAGTGATACAAGATGGAACAATCTGGACAGATGATACTGAGTGCAGGAGAAATGGAATATTTCAGGCTACATGGACGAAAACATCCAAGACTCCCAGGGAGTAGCATTTATATTATTAAAAACACAACATGGGTACTCACTGGATAGGAAGCGCATGGGTTAAGAATTAGTAAGGCACCCTGTCTAACAAAAGGGAAGAGAGTCAACATGGTAATCTGCTCCCAAGAAATACGATCATAGAGTGGAAAACAAAAGAAACACTTGAAATTATGAAATAGAGGCAAGAAAAGAACTCTGTGAAATACAGAAGAACAAGATCTGAGAAAATGATCAAGACCGAGTGCGAAACCTGAACTACATGCATGCAGCAGATCAGAACGACCTTTGAAATAAGATAAGAAAACATAATGGTTGCAATGGAAAAGAAAAACTTTTAAAAAGACCAGTACCAAATTATCCACAAAACATCTGCCACCTATAAAAGTCCTTAAAAGGCATGAAGTGAACCAACAAATGCGAAATAAAGACAAAGCATCTGAAAAGTGGTGAATTAGATGGACCTGAGAGTATTCAAGCTGAGATACTCAGGACCTACATAGAAACAACAGTAAAATGTTATACCACCCACCCATCCTACCAAAGTCCCTTTTAAACGAATAAGGGAAGAAGAACAATTATCTCATAATCCAATAGAGAGATTTCTTGTCAATAAAGAAAAGGGGCTAAGGCAATTATGTAAGGGTTAATGTACGAGTAGCGCTCCATTTCTAAAAAGTAATGGAGCCGAGGCCCCGAAGGGGCCGAAGCCTATTACTTCTAAGGAATGGAGCGCTACGAGTATATTAACCCGCGTGAAATCCACCTTTTTAAAATGCTTGTATTTATTTTTGTTAATATATAATACAGAATATTTATATGATACACTGTAAATATACATTACATATTAGTAGTATTTAATTTATATAGAGAGAAAAAGTAAGGCGAAAAAAGTGTATTGAGGTTATTCTAATCCTATGACGGTCAACTGCTTCGATAGCACAGTGAAATGAGTAGCAGACTACGAAGGTGCGGGTACCGGGTTCGATTCTCGACAGTGGTACATTTATTTTCTTTATGTGAAAATAAACTTGATAAAATTTTCTATGTTCTTTCCCGGAAGAGGCACGGGAAGGAGAAAAAGAACATAAAAAATTCCGTTTTCAATGTAATTTGCAACTCTCCATTCCTGAAAAATGATGGAGCGCTCAAACAAAGGAGTGACGTCACAGGTGGATTTTACAGATAGATCTACAGATGGATTACGCTCTGGCCAGTAGCAGAGAAGTTATTTCATAGAATAATACTAATAAGATGAAGGATTAGGTCCAGACACAACTAAGCGATCAACAAGCTGATTTTAACAAGAACAGACCATGGTACTGACCAAAATGCTAGGGTAATTATTGAGCAGCCAACTGAGTGAAACTCCTCCTTCAAATTCATTTATCGACTTTAAAAAGGGAGTGTACATAGAGATATCCTTTGGATATTCTCAGCCATTACGGTGTGTCAATAAAAGATGTAAATATGAAACGGAATTCATATAAAGATTTGTCTTGAGGAGTCATTCATGAAGGCCAACTTACATACGCATTCTTTATTTTTTATTAACAGAGGTCAGACAAACTCCCATTTCTATTATTTTAATGATGGTAAACTGATTTACGGAAACAGGAACAACAGAAGCTAAGGATGGTATCAAGTGGAAAGACAAGAACTAGGCAAGAACAATTTTTATGCAGTTGAAACAGTCTTGGATCCAAAGATCCTACCCTTCAAATCAAGATTAAAATTTTTAACAGTTTTATCAATGCAGTACTTCTGTATGGTGACGATCTTGGAGGACTACAGTGGTTAATAAAAAAGAAATACAGACGTTTATCAACAGGTATCTAAGTAGAATCCTCTGAGTACACTAGTCAAAAACTATCAACAGCATTGATCTCTGACAAAGACTAACCAACACTGTAGAAACTAAAATGAGCACTTACCTGATCTTCGAAGGCAAAAGACCTAAAACATATGGAATGAAAAAACTGCTAGGTGTTCACCTGGAAAGAACTATAATAGAAAACCCAGGATAGGACGGCTTGAGAAATATTAGTGGCCTAGGCCCCAAAGGGGTGCAGTGATAAGTAAGGCATTTGTAAGACTTTGAAACCCTATTTTGAACACAACCTGGTTCTTGGATTCTCATTTTACCGCCATTTAAAGGCTTTCAAACGAATTTAAAAGTTATGGATTTTGATTTGAGAGAATAAATTAAATTTAAAAAAAATACATTTCAATTGAAAAATTGAAATTCCTTTTTTCATAGTTATTAATTACAACCCAATCTTTCAGTTATTCAATTAAATTTGCTTAAATTTCCTTTTAAGTCAAGGGAGATTAATTGGAGTCATAAACAATGTCATTAATTGTATTTTTATAACTTATATAACATTACCCCTCAAACCATTGAATAATATTAACTTTTCAAGCTCTGATATGGAGAATATGAAAATACCTACACACTGCATTGTGGATATCATCTTTAATTTTTCCGATGTGACCTTGTATTTCTGGCTTTTTCTGGCGACAAGAACATGCTCCTGGTACTGTGACATACGGTATATATTCACGTAGTGTCTGCTGTCGCAGAAGAATTGGTGATTCGAAGCAGCATGCATATGTACACGAGACTGACAAAAAAGTTTCCCAGTCACCTCTACACATTTTATCAACGATAATGTCGACGTTGAAAACTGACGATATGGCATAAAGTTCTCCATCGCCGGAAGGTTTCATTCGATTTTTTACTTCCTTTGTGTGAGTCTTCAAAAGTCTCTCCTTTTCGACAGTGGTCGTTTCTTCATTGATGGAATCGTCTGCGTTCTTGCAAAATAAATCCAGATTATCTCCTTCTAGTTCAAAGTTACAAATGATATTCAGTATGCGGTCATGGTAATCTTCGTTGCCATAGAATTCCAAACTCAGACGACGATACAAATCTTTGACCTGATCTTTCATTCCATATCTAACACTTCCATCAAAGAGCAAGCAAAAATTATTTCCGAATCGTAAGTCAAAACAATTTTTATGCTCTTCATTCACGAGACCCCACGGACAAGATTTGAGATCCTTTTTATGATCTCTGAAATCAACATTGCCAAATTCTACCGATCCATCTTCATCTTCAACCATTACGATACACACTGGCTCTGAATCAAGACACTGTCTGATACTTGGAGCGAAAATGTACCCCTGAAATCCGAGCATATCCTCATTGCAAGATCTATTGTAACGAATAAGACATATATTCTTCTGTAGTAATTCTGCTCCAGCATAAATTTCCCTAGGAGATACATATTTCTTTTCTTTTTTCTTCTTTTCCAGATCACTAGATAAGCAATCTCTTGGGTGCATTGTCCCGTCACACCTAACATACTGTGGGTGAAATAGGTGGAAATACCAGGCATTATTTACCTCAAATTCGAATACCTCGTCTCGCATTTGTGTTGCGCTTTTTCTAGAAAGTGGGCCCCTTTCCGATGCTAAATTAAGACTGTAATAAAATGAGTTTTCGTCTTTGGGATGTCTCGTCAAACCGTAGCCTTTTCTTTGAAGAACTGACTCAGCTCTGTCCATGATGACCGTATTATCATACAAAACCTAAAATTGTTTTTGAATCAGTGAGTGATTTAATGATGACAATATCATTTTAGGGAGTGAGTTACTGCAAAATACTTCAATGAATATAAGAAAGCTAGTGATTTATAGCACTTATAGCAGTTATGAATGAGTAATAAAATTTTGCCCAAATGAGAGAGTCCATAATGTTTTGCGAAAGCATTAGATTTGCAGAGTACTTTCCAAGATGTGAAACTTGGCACTGTTTTCTTATAATTGTAATCTGTTGCAATTAATAATGATATATTTATTCAACAAATAAAGATAAGTTATTAGTTTTAATCATAATATAAAGATTTTAGAGGAAGGACTGGTATTCAATTCAATGCAACGGTCAATTGCTACTGATTTCCTCTTTTTTTTTTTAATATTTTGCATCACACAATGCGAAGCGAAGTAAATGATGGAATATTAAGTGTTTCAGAAATAACACCTGATTTAACAGCCCCTTTCTTCTACATAACTTAATGGGCTCAGAATTTTTATGGCAGTAATTCTGAACATCAGCAGACAAGAGGAAATATATGAAATAAAGGAGAACATATCATTAAAAACTGCATGAGAATGTACGGGGTATTGTTATTAAATAAAATAGTAACATTAAATCATATTGTATGTTATTAATGCAAAATTTTAGATAAATGAATAATAAAAAAAAAAATCTCAAATGTTTTCCACAGCTATAGAATCATGTGCCTTAGAGGATTAAGCAAACCCTGTCGACCGGTCGCATAATCTTACTGGACAAAGCTTCTCTTCAAAATTTGGAAAAACTCTTAACTAAAATTTATCTGATGTTGTCTACGGAATAAAATGTACCCTTTTGTGGGCTTATATATATAGTGGACATGATATTTTTTAATTGGGTAATGAAAAATTCCAGAAAAAAAGACCACTTGGTTTTATTCCTTTCATGACTTGGAAATGAAAAAAAAGTTTAATTGCCCCAACAAAAAATAACTATAGTAAACTATAGTTAACTATAGTTTACTATAGTTAACTATAGTAAATCAAAGTTCCAAAGTTTTCACTATAGTAAATCAAAGTTCCAAAGTTTTCACTATAGTAAATCAAAGTTCCAAAGTTTTTACTTTGGTACTATAGTTAACTATAGTAAACTATAGTTAACTATAGTTTACTATAGTATTTTTTTTGTTAAGGTGGACATAATTTTATAATCTTTTTTTTTTATTGTTTAATTAAAAAAATGCAGAAAAAAACATCGTTTAGTGTTATTACATTTGGGAGTAAAAAAATTAATTAAATAATTGGAAATAATATTTTGGAAGTTATTTATTCTCTATTGATTTTAATGTGTAGTAACATTAAGTATAACAAATAAATAGAAATACTTCCTTGAATAGGCCTATGTGAATGAGAGAGTAAAAGAAAGTCGAATGACAGATTATGTGCGTTTGGGCATATTGGTCTAACCCCATAATGGAGCGCTCACACAAAAGAGTGACGTCACAGGTGGATTTTACTTAAATGACACGAAAGTTAGTCAATAACTAATTGCTTAACATCGTGATTTACCAGATGTGTTGCATCAGTTATTTTTATAGCTCAATGATACGATTACATGTTGACACCTGTTGAGGTTTTCAGACGTCTTGCAGGGGAACAAATACCTTCTTTCTGCACTCTCTTAATTTTTTCAGAGACACATAATTGAGAAAAAAAAGATTCAAAATTGGAAAAATACGGCTATTTGGATTAGGAATGGGTCCGGTAACCGGACCAAAAAAACAAGCCTGGAAAACCTCTGATTCATATGAATCAGAATTTATTTAAAAACATACACGAGAAGAAGAATACACTTGTTGTTGCCTTCAACTCGACATTTAGATATATTGACGATTTATTATCAATGAACAATAGTTACGTCCATTCATATATCGACTCGATATATCCCAGTCATCATAAAATAAAAAGATACCACAGAGTCTGACACACCTGTTTCATATCTGTATATTTTACTAGAGAAAGACGTTAATGGTATGATAAAAGTGATGACTTCATATTTTCTATCGTCAACTTTCCTTACTTATGTAGCAATATACCCTTATCGCCTATATGATTATGGGGCTCATATCTCCCATTTGGTTCGATACGCAGGAGCATGGTCCACGTACGAACAATTTCTAACACGAGACAACCTATTGACAAGTTGATGAAACAAGGATATTAAGAGTCTCATTTACAGTCATCTTTTTGCAGGTATTATGATCGATACATTGATCTGTCAGCAAATACAGTCTATCTTTAAGTCGATTGCTGACTGACGTTTTTCATGTCAATTCTTGGGCCATCATTTAAACACTGAATTGATTTTTCCATTTGCCCGATCATGTCAATGAGCACGTGTATTCTCTGGTCCCGATCTGTATTGTTTCAATGGACTTTTGAGCTTGAGTACTGTAAGCATTCTAAGGGGGAAATTCTTCAAAATTATCAGTTTTAAATATCTTTCATATTCTCAACAATCAAATCGAATTTGAATTACCATACCTATACTGGATTCCCACATACCACACTGTAAACAAAGATATATAGAAGCTTCCAGTAAATGTTCTACCAAGCTTCTTTTTATACTCCTTGCAAAAATATAAACAGCAATGAAGGAGAAACTTCAGGAGTACTTGTACAACAACATATTCGAAAAGTGGTGTGAAACTTAAAAACTCCAAGGAACTTTTAGAAAATATGAAATCACAGAATTGTTATAAAATCAATAACATCAAAACATACACTTTATACAACCATTCCCCACGACAAATTAAATTTTGGATATCATAGACAGCTGCTTTTTCAATAAAAATGGACCTCGTAGATTTGCATACCTTGCCATTGTTCAAGAGTTTGGACGAAAATATTACTTTTACCATGGAAAAACACTATGTGTTTCTGAAACACTGATGCCCCCGTATGGCAACTTATAGCAAATATTAAACTTTCCCAAATGCAAATCAAATGTGTTGGTACACAAAGTAAGGTATTGTCTCGAGGAAAATACCTGTGAACAAATGACATCCCTAGCAGCAACCACTGATAAGATAGGCAACCATTGAAAAGATAGGGAAAAGGTTTAAGTTTTTTCAAAAGTAAGTAAAACTTCAAGGTCAAATGGTGCCCAAGGATAGACCTTCTCACATGTGAAATATGAAAGCCCTGGCATCAATTATTCATAAGTTATGGCCAAGGTTAAAATTTTTCAAAAGTAGGCCAAACTCCAAGATCAACGTCAAAGGGTCAAAGTTGTTGACGTGTGAGGTCTTGTCACAGGGATTTCACATGTGAAGTATAAAAGCCCTAGTACCAACTGTTCATGAGTAATGAAAATGGTTGAAGTTTTCCAAAAGTAGGTCAAATTCAATGGGCTATAATTATTCATTTCCAAAGAAGGGTTTTGTGAAAAGGAATACACATGTGAAGAAAAAAAGTCCTAGCACCAACCGTTCAAGAATTATGGCCAAGGTTAAATCTTTCCAAAAGTAGGTCAAACTCCAAGTTCAAGTCAACAGGTCAAAGTTCTTGGTATCCAATTACGAAAGGTCTTGTCACAATGATTACATATCTGAAGTATGAAAGCCCCAACTGTTCAAAAGTTATGGCCAAGGTTAAAGTTATTTTTGCAAAACTGGGTCTATCTCCAAAGTCAAGGTCAAAAATGACGGTACCCAAAGAAAGGTCTTAACACAAGGAATACACATATTAAGTAGGAATGCCATTGCTTCAACCAATCAAAAGTTATGGACAAGAGCTCGAATACTGTTCGTTATCTCCACATATTACATGTATATGTCGTCAAAATTATCATAGGCGTCGGAACCGGGGGGGGGAGCTTAGCCCCCACCCCTCCCCCCTTTTTTACAAAGATAGACATAATATAATATAGGCATTGAACATCGGGGCGTAGTCACAAACGCTTTTTTGTTGATGTTGTCGTTGTTTTACCCCCCCCCCCATTTCAACAGGCACGTACCTATAAAAACATGCCATTGAGCGCACAGCAGTGTGATCAGACGACAGAATATGCTTTCTCCTCCTTGGCACTTACTCCCATGGCTTTAGATATCTGTTGTTCGCTCTGCTCCCAATTTGCATTTTTCCAATGGACTTTTGACCTTGATTACTTTTCGTTCTCTTCAATAAGGTAAACGGATAATCAGTAATCAGTAATCAAACTTATTATTAAATCAAAGGTCTAACAATTGGTATAAAACAGTCAGCCAAAATACGTCCCATTCCTAGGGTATATTTGCTTACAAGGTCATTATAACTCCTTTAATAATTTCCGAAATCCTGACTTTAAACGAGGTTGTTGAAATTCCTGTAATATCAACCTACCTGTCAATAAAATGTCTCGGTTTAAATTAGATCATACTAAGAGCTTGGTCTTGAGTAACAAATAACTTACGAGACGTCAACACAATATGCAGGATATAGGGGTAATATCACTACATAAATAAGGAAAACTGAAGATGGAAACGCTGAAGTCATTTTGTTTGTCATACAATTTAGTGGGCCTTTATCGTCTCTAGTCAGTAATACATACAAATATAAAACAGGTGTGGCAGACTCTGTGGAATCTTTTATTAATTTTCGAGTTCACTGGGACATATTGAGTCGACATATTGTTATCGATTGTTGTTGTTAATTGATAAAACTTCGTCGATATATGTCTGAATGTTGATGTGAAGGCCAATTGTGTAGAAAAGTCGTACAATTTGATGCTACATACAATAAACATTTTGTTGATTTTAGATTTTCTTAAACTTCTTTGGAGTTTTCGAGAATCCACGTCTAATTTACACCACTTCTAGAACATGCTGTAGCACAGTGCATCTACATATATAACCAGTTGCAGTAGCTTAGTGGTAGGGCGTATGCATCATGATTAAGAGGCCAAGGTTCGATTATCGTTCGCCTTGGTGCGTCAAATCGAAAATGTAAACGCCCGACAGTGGAAGTGAA